GTCAGGACTTCAATTTGCTGTGAGTTAAAAAGAAAAAAGGTTGCAATGTAGAAAAAAGCAATCCCTACAGGATCTCTGTGAATGCAGTAAATTGTAAGCTGTTATCAATTATGCAAACTGGTATGTGATCTAATGAAATGAGACTTGATTAGAAGGCTGCACACTCCATTTCGGAAAGAGAAGCAGAGGGAGCAGATCCAAGGTGAAACCCACAACGAGCACAGCAGAAGAAAACGTTTGCCAATATATTTACAGTATTAAAATGTGAACTGTACTTGTGTACAGATATCAGTCTAACAGACGTCTGGATTAAATTCAATGCTGGTGACCCACTTTCGATCCAGCGGTGGCATACGCTAATGCTTACACCAGTTTTCACATCCTAGTGCAGCCCTTTACACCCCCTGAAAATACTTATGGGTGGCAGAGGAACCATACAGGTCAGCATAGAAGCTGGAATCGGTGCCTCTGGATCAGTAGTTGTTCAGTGGGCAGGACAGCATAGCTGGATTTCATCCATCTGTTTCTTTTAAGGTCCTGCATATGTAATATACCTGGATTCACAATATGAAGGCCTTGTTTGGATGTTATGCTAAAATATGGTTTATATTAATGAACCGGAGTGTACCTTGGGTTCACGTGCTCCCTTTTACACCTGCAGTGAAGCCACAAGAAGAATAGAAGATATTTTTTTAATTACTTTTGGGTTATATGCAGTTTAACTTTATGCCTGAACCCAGAAATGCTGTGGGTTAACAATGGTTTATGAAACAGTCATGTTTCAATAAATCGTAGTCTAAATCAGCCATGATGTAACTGACTGCTTGGAAGAGAGGCAGAGTCCTATCTCACTTGCAGAGAAGTGTGAATAAGGAAACAACAGTGGAGAGAAATAGTTGCTTCACTTCTTGCCCAGAGCTCTCTGCCACTGAGCAGTATCCCCACACTCCTCAAAGTCCTTTTTGTTTGCCAGAGTGCTTGGAGGGAGAAGTGGGAGGCTTTAAAAGCATTATTTTAAATTATTTAATCCTGTGGGAAGAATGGTTATTTATCTGCAGATGCGCTTGTACACACACACACACACACACACACACACACACACACAAATATTACTAAATGCATCCTTAAAAACAATACAAAAGTATGACATCAACAAGGCTTTGAAGTTGTTTGCAGCTTCACCCATGCATTGAGGGACAATGTGGTGTTGTGCTTAATGAGTTGGGCTAGGACTGTCAAAGCTCCAGTTCAAGTTTCTGCTCAGCTGTGACCCTCACTGGGAGATTTGGGGCCAGTCTATAGTGCTCTCTTGTCTAACCCTTGAAGTGGTTGTGGTGATAAAGCTATAGTTTGAAGTAATAGAGTTCATCTATGGAATTTGCTACCACAAGAAGTAGGACCACCTACTTGGATGGCTTGAAGAGGACAAGGCCACATTCCAGTAGAATAGGCTATCAAGAGTTACCAGCCATGATGGCAGTGTTGTACTTCGACTGTCAGTTGCTGGGAATCATAAGTGGATAGAGTGCTGTTATGCTTACTTCCTGCTTAGGGGCTTCCCATAGGCATCTGGCTGGCCACTGTGAGGATGCTGGACTAGATGGGCCACTGTTTTCATGCAGCAGACTCTTCCTATGATAAGATCGGGGTGGAAGAATCATGAATGGCATCCTGAACTCCTTAGAAGAAGGGATGGCTAAAAAACAAACAAACCCCACAATGGGACTGCCATGAAATGGTTGTAGCTGGAAAAGAATGCACTTGCTACTTCTTCTGTCTCACAATACAACAGCTTCTCTCTCCCTCCCTAATGTTGGATCAGGGCTTGTTGAAGTTATGGGAAAGGGAGGAGTCATGTCTCTTGGTCTTCAGACGTAATTGTGTACAGACTCTTTGGGGCTGGACTCCTCTGGCTACAATGGAGAATAAATTCTGGTGCATGAAGGAATAAAGCCCTTTGAAGTGTGTGTGTGTGTGTGTGTGTGTGTGTGTGAGAGAGAGAGAGAGAGAGAGAGAGAGAGAGAGAGGAAGAATAATTGGTTACTATCAGGTGACAGATAATCCGTACCATTTTCTGTTCCCTTTATCTTTTAGCCAAAAGTTACATTTCCTATGCGAGTGAGTCAATATTCTGGGCCAGTCACAATTTCCCCTCTAATCCACACACGTTAATTTAGACTATCCCACCCCCCATTTTTTGTTTTTAATGTTGAAGCAGCAAGGTGTAGGGAGCAATCCTCACAGTCGGTTGTGTCATATAAAATTTCAGATGCTAGTACTGACAATGTAAAATATTTAGGCAGAGAGCATGAGTGCTGATAATCTAATATACATTTAAGTTGTGCTCATTAATGTAGATATGCATCTGCAAATTTGAAAGACATCTGTTCTAATGTCTTGACTTGCTAGTCCAAGTAGGGTGATGGTCAGAGAAGAAAAATTGTTTTCTGTTGATGACAAAATTCACAAATTTAGCTGGGTTGTATCTGTGTTATTCTTTAATAGCCTCCTGTAATGCACACTGATCATTTCGAAAATACTTTGAATTTTGAAGGATGTAAAATTGTGCTTCTTCTCTTTTGTCACTGATTCTCTCCCAAGCCTTGTCATATTATTGTTTCCAAATTTCTCCTGAATTGTGTCACACTCGCTTCCAATTTGGTGTTCCTGGTTTCTGTGGTTTAGATATTGTTCACTGATGGTATTGTTTCTTGCATTTATGGGGGTGAAGAGTTATCTTATCTTTAAGGATACATATCTTTGCACTGGTTCCTGCGAGTACCCATCCCATCTACCATGTGCTAGCACAGATGTGGGGAACCTTTGGCCTTCTAGATGTTGCTGAACTACAACTCCTGTCATCCTTGGGCATTGGCCATGCTTGCTAGGACTGATGGGAGATGTTGTTCAGCAACATCCAAAGGGTCAAAGGTTCCCCAACCCTGGGTTAGTGTTTGAAGGAGGGAGAATGTAGGAATCTTCTTTAACAGTGTGGTGTGGGGAGAAGTATAGCTGCAGATATAGTGGTGCATCACACAAGGTTGAGATCCAGTGTGGTGTAGTGGTTAAGAGTGGTAGACTCGTAATCTGGTGAACCGGGTTCGTGTCTCCGCTCCTCCACATGCAGCTGCTGGGTGACCTTGGGCTAGTCACACTTCTCTGAAGTCTCTCAGCCCCACTCACCTCACAGTGTGTGTGTTGTGGGGGAGGAAGGGAAAGGAGAATGTTAGCCACTTTGAGACTCCTTCGGGTAGTGTTAAAGCGGAATATCAAATCCAAACGCTGCTGCTGCTGCTGCTGCTGCTGCTTCTTCTTCTTCTTCTTCTTCTTCTTCTTCTTCTTCTTCTTCTTCTTCTTCTTCATCTTCTTCTTCTTCTTCTTCTGTGTTGTATGACTGAAAGAGAGCTGTTGCATCTCACACTAGATGTTCATGTCTTGGTAGTCTCCATATGATGCTAGAAAATGTCTTTTTAAAAATGGAGTTGGGTTTTAGCAGTAAATATCTAGCTATATCTCAGGGGTTTCTCATAGGGAAGACCATAGGGTGAAGCCATAGCACACTGTTCAGATAATGCAATGCTTTGCCATGTATGCAATTTCCAAGGCTCCTGGACACACACATTTGGTAAACTCTGGAAGCGGAAAAGCGATGTTACTCAGGGTTCACAAAAGTAAGGCCCCAGTCATGTATATTGAAAGGGGGAAAGAACCCATGGGGTTAGGTAATCTCAATCATGTTGAATGCTTCAAACCCCCCCCCATCCACACCCTGGAAGACAGGGGGAGATAAGTGGACACGACCGGTGAGAAGTCCCAGAAGCCATTGTAGTTGTGATGAAGTAGGAAAGGGTATCCAGTTGTTCTTCTTGCTGAATTAGCTGTTCCTTTATGCTAACTGTCTCTTGCACTGAATTTAGCAGATTGGTATTTACCTGGGATTTTTGACTTTGTATTTGATAACTTTGTAGTCTAGTTTACTGTTCTCTGAGGACAGATCTGAGCGTTGAAGGAAAAGCTCATGGGACTGTCAGCTCAGAATACAGGGGGTGAGTGGGAAGAAAACATGTCTTAATGCTGTTGGTCACTGCAGGCAACCCCTGCACATGGAAATCTAGCATGACAGAAGCTCCCCAACTCTCCTCCGATGCTAGGAGTTTATGACTCTGAAGAATACCTTCTAACACACTCCATGAAATAAAACATTTCATCTGGTTTTTCATCATCTGTATTAAACTTGAGAATACGGTTCGTGTGCAAATGTAACATCAGCCTCAGATCTTAATCTTCAGATCCCCTGTGCACAGTACTAAACAAACAAAATAACTGGCAAAGAAAATGTTTGACTTGCAAAAATCTTCAAGCCAACGTCTATTACATGGGTTCAGCGAATGATGTGCTATGCTCCGTCATCTCCTGATAAAAATTTGCCTATGACTGGATGAGGACATCCTGTCTTCTTTTTTTAAGCTTCTATTTCAATAAGGACGCTCCTTCGTAAATAGAAGGAATCTAACTTTGGAACTTGGAAAGTTGAGATCTTATGTACCTCTAGTATTCGTCTCACCTGAGCACCTCCTCTCTTCACTGGTCATAATAGCTTAACTGCCCCAGAGATGTGAGAATCTCCTCACTACCATATAAGCACATGGTACATAGTTATTTGATGGGCATAAATATGCATTTATTTTCTAAACTGCGTTCAAACCAGGCATCCTTCAAGTCAAAACCTAAAACTACAAAGGAGACAGGCATGTTCTTTGTAAGAACTAGGGGCATGTGGAATTAATAAAAATTCCAAGCATAATAAATAGGCGATCATCATGGGAAAGGGAGTCTTGTTGTCATGTGATGCCATGGGCTCTCCTTAGAGATGGTGAGGGGTGAGTGTCATCGCTGAGTCATGCAACAGGAGGGGGCTCTGCTCACTCCCTCAGATGCAGCCCCTCTTCTGATGTCACTAATCTATTCTGCACCACAGAATTAACATTCATAGGGAGAACAGGAAAGTAGAGACCATGTGAAAAAAGGGAGGCTAGCTGGGTTTATCCCCCCCTTCACGCTCCCATTGCAAACACACAGAGAGTGGGGAGACAATCGAGCACAGACCTGCTATTTTATAACTGGGGTCTCTGACGTATGGCTGAGTCTTTCCTGGCAGAGATCTTTATGGACCAGTAGGCAGATCGAAACTAAAGCTGACACGACTTTGTGCATTTTGGAAAGGAGCGTAATCTACTGTAGTGAGGAACAGAGCCACTCAATCACTGCGGCGGTAAATAGGAGACAGAAGGGAAGGAAGAAAGAAGGAAGAGAGACTCTTTGCTGGGGGCGGGGAGCGAGAGCATTTTTGGTGGATGGTATAAAGCCAGCCATGGAAACTGCAGCGGAGGAAAATACAGAACAAAGCCAAGAGAAAAAAGGTACCCAGAGGACCGAACAATAGACTGTTTAAATCTTTTTAAGAACCTTAAGTGAAAAGATTTAGGCTATGTTTGTCACTCTCTTTAGAGCAGTGCTTAAATTATCATTATGGCATCTTCTAGCTTCCAGTGGTTTTTATGCTGTATGGCTTGACAGCAGATTAATGGAACAGCCATCTCTCCCAACATCTCTAAGTTGGTGTTTTCAGCCATCTCAAATCCCATGGAAAAACCCGGACTGCATTTTTTGCAGTTTAGAGAAAAATTAATTTTGTGTGTGTGTGTGTGTGTGTGTGTGTACGTACATACATACATGCCTTATTCACACATTTTGAGTCTGATGGTAAGGGTTTGGGTGGGTTTAGTATTACTGTAACAGGAAGCTTTCTGCCAGTGTAGACATAATGGCTTGTTTTCTTTTTCTTTCTTGTACAGCACTTATGTGTTGCATTTCTATAATATTTGGGGGAAGAGAATGAAGCAGTAATATTATGCAAATAATTAAAGTGCACAATAGTGTTTGGGGGCAAATGTTCCAATTGAGAGACTTACAGACCAGAAAATGGCAGTGTGGCAAGAGAAATCAAATCTGAATGTTGCTGGTTGTTGTTATTCTTAAAGATCAATGAAACAAAGTTAACAGCCTGCATTATTTCATTCGATTGCACTTCTCTATAGCAGGCTAGTGTAGTTATTTCGAAACTTTGCAGCCATTTACACTTGTATAAAACCACTGACTTGAAAGGGAATGAGCACCATTCTAAAGGATTGGTTCCAGTATTTTATCTTGTTTGAGAAATTTTAAAACTTACAGGACCTGTTATATATATTGTTACTAGTGGTTTCTTTGTATTTCTTCCTAAATTGCTAATGAATACTTCTAAATTAATGGTTTAGAGTGTCTGGAAAAGAATCTGTTAGTTAAATGTACAGTGATGCGATAAATATTCCGCAAATTTTAATTGTGTTGCTCAGTGAAACATCTAAAACATACAATATTATAAGAGCTTCAATTTCAATAAAGTAAAATTTGGTGAATGGTTCAGCCATTGTATAAAATAATAGCCTGAATATTCTACCTGAAACATGACAATGCTAAGGAATCAAAACATATCAAAACACTAGCATGCCCATGATGGGGACAAACACCCCAGAAGGTTGTTTTTGTTGTTGTTTCAATGGACAAAATTGTTTTTGAAAGGTGCTTCTTATATAATGAGCCCTCCAAAGTGTGTACAGATCCTTTTTCAATATTGCTTCATAAGCAGTTGCATTTTGAATTTCAAAAAATACAATTAGCACTCTTTGTTAAGTGAACGGAAGAGGCCAAGAAGTGAATTGTACTTGAATGAATGTGTTTGAAATCAGTGAAACTTTAGGATTGGCGTGTAAGGTGTATATTCATCATTTCCTTCACCACACCACCCTTGCAAAGAAAGTTAATTGGTGGCATCTAAAGAACTGCTTAGCCTTTGCACCAGCTTGATGGGATGGATATAATCTATCATCTATCTATCTATCTATCTATCTATCATCTATCTATCTATCATCTATCATCTCTATACTATATCTATCTCAGTGCCATATCGCAAACCCCTATTGAAAGTTTTCTGTATTCCAGAAGCAGTTTGCTCTGCAACTTGGGATGGGTGTTGTGTTGCTGTTTAAGAAACACAAGTGCAAAGTCCCCTTAGGCTCATAGTCTTTTTGATCATGGCCCATGTCTAAAGCATTTCAGGACTAGTGTCATGTATGTGCCTTTAAACATCACCTAAGCTTGCAGAATCGTTCTGTTTAAGATGACACTTCTGATTTTGCTATTGTATCTTGACTTTAGTTAGTTTGCTAGATTGCACAGACTTATTTGGGAGTATACCATTTTCCTTGATCGTCTGTAAAGGGTGCAGCTTATAAAGTCTTTAAAAGAAAGTAATTACCCACGTTATGATGTTCCTCTTTGTAGAATGGGTTAGGTTTACAAAGATAAATAAAATATGAATAGCTCCCCTCACCTAAAACTCAGACCAGACTCTGACTATTTATGCTTTGGGTATTATTACTATTTTTAAAAAAATATTTACATTTCTAAATGGCTATTTCGGAGACATTCCTAACTGAAGAGGATGGAAGCATTTTACTAGGCTTTGAAATCTGTCAGGTTTTTTTTCTCTTTCATTTTTTAGAATAGAATTTAGATATGTATAATTTCTTTGGCTGGTGTTTTAGATTTTGTTTGTAGTAATTAACACCCAAGGACCTTTATGAATATTACTGTGGGTTGTTTTTCCAATCCCCTTGGCAGTATTATTTACAAGACACATAAGAATTTTGTACTGCTTTCAGGTGTATGACACACCATGGGAACTTAATATGGAGAAAAAATTAAATACACAAACCCTTTCACACTGTTAAAACCTGTATCAGAATCCCTAGATTTTTTTTAAGTAATGCAAATGTTTTCTAAATAACATGACTTTAAAAAGTGTAATTACATCCATTTAAAAGCAAACCTGTCTTAAATTGTAGCATATTTTTTCATTGGTCGTCTCTATGAAGCAATTGTTGGTGTGTTATCGAAATGTCAGATATTGAACAAGGAAATACCCGCGCACTTGTCACTGTTAAAATATATCGTTTTGATTATTTTAAACATCCCCTTGTATGCAAATAAAGATTCAAGTGTTGAGGTGATTGAAGTAATTGGTACATTTTGAGTGAAATCTTCTTCTGTCCACACCCATAAGAATTCTGCAATTGATTTTCAAAAAAAAGTGCAGTGGACCTATCATCCTTTTTGTAACATTCTAGAAATGCACAGCAGTGTTTCTACAAAAAATAATAATGCTTTTCTTGAATTGTTGAACAGCAATAACCTACTGTCATAGAAAGGAATCCGTAGCTGTAAAGATTAGCACACAGAGTGGATACCAGAGCAAGTTACTTACACTTTGGTCCCATTGAAATCAACATGAAATTATAGTTATGACTAACTTAGGTGTCATTGAAATCAATGGGACTTGCGTGCCATTAACATGATGGTTATATGCCCATGGTGGTTTACATCTGAAGTGGCACACTAGTGCGTCTAATTTTTCATTCTAATGTACTGTAAAATGTTTTTAAATACTTGAGTCCTTGACGTTCAGTTTTTGGTGAATGTGTAATTAAAATACGTTTCAAACTAAGTATGTCTTACACGATAAATCTCTAGAACTGTATGAAAAAAGATTAGCCAAAAAAATACACAGTGTGATTTGCAGTATCCTTAAGGCTTCTCTGGAGAGGAGCCATTGTGGCATTTGCTGTTCTTTTAATTGGTGAAACTGTGTGACACTCTTGTTAATATGCTGCTTTATTCCGATTATCAAATATCAAAGGAATAGGCTATGAACATTGTCCGTGGAAATGTTGAGCAGATATTTTACAGGCTGTAAGACAGATTGAGTGCATTTAAAGCTGAAGGTTTATAAATTATTGTAAATGACAGGGTTTATCTTGCAGGCATTAAATTAAATCAAAAAGTGAGGATGGGGATAGGCGGATTTACTGAGATGGAATAAATGGGTAAAATGAATGCCATTTTATATCAGCAGAGAAGGAGGAAATACACCCAGATACATATTAACACAGACAAGATGTTTGTATTAATTTGGGGCGGGGATACTATCCCAATAAGTAAAGCACAGGGGAAACATGTCATACAAGATTTATAGCGGATGTCCAGAGCAAACTGGCTATAAGCTTATGGTAGATTTAAAAAGCAAATTCCAAAAGAATTGCTATATTTGAGTAATGTATGAAATGATGCTTGTTTTTTACAGCAAGCAAGAAAAACCTGAACACACAAAATGCACTTTTAGGCTGCAGTGCTATAATAACTTCCTTGGGAGTACACACCATTGAACTCAGTGGTACAGTGGTATCTTGGGTTAAGTACTTAATTTGTTCCGGAGGTCTGTTCTTAACCTGAAACTGTTCTTAACCTGAAGCACCACTTTAGCTAATGGGGCCTCCCGCTGCTGCCACGCTGCCGGAGCATGATTTCTGTTCTCATCCTGAAGCAAGGTTCTTAACCTGAAGCACTATTTCTGGGTTAGCGGAATCTGTAACCTGAAGTGTATGTAACCTGAAGCGTATGTAACCCGAGATACCACTGTACTTACTTCTGAGAAGACATGCATATTAGAAGGACTTCAACATTTGACTATTCACCTTCCTGTGAGAAATTGCTGAGAGATTTCAGGTGGAAGGTGCGTTGCCATTAAAAATACCGAAAATCTGAAATGGTGGTGAAAAAAAGAAATAAAATCAGAGTTTTCAGGAATCTAAATTGTAGGCTTACATAGTACAAGCACTTTTAAGTGTGTATATTTGAGATCAGTTTTAATGTTACAGAATCTTTGAATTAACTCCAGCTACTTCTGAACACCAGCAGTCACAGTAGGATACTGTTCATGCCCAGTCATACTGTTGACTTCCTATGTGTTTTACATTTTACTGTAGGTCACTGGCACCTTATAAAGTTACTTGTATTTTAAGGTTCATTAAGCTTTCAATACTTACTTAGGATTTGTGGCATATTGTGTGACAGCACGGAAGCCAGATGTGTCAGAAACGATGGTTTAGATCGGGGGTAGAAATTGCAAATTTACCTGATCCTTACAGTGTTTAATAAACTTGGTGAATGCTCATCCTTGGAGAATGGGATTAGTTACATAATTTGTACAAGTATGGCAAAATAAATAAATCAAAACCAATTCTTCCAGGTTTAGCAACTATTCACAGGCATGTGAGTGTTGATGAAAACAGCTCCCATGCCCTGCAAAGGCTATGCCACTTCATTTTAGTTTTATGGACAGCTCCATGTGTGCAAATTGATGGATACCTGGATCTGCCCTCTCCAATGAAATGAACATCTCCCCAGTCATATTCAGGTTCGCACAGAATTCTTGATTTGAGGGATGCTATAACTTCAACTTATGGTCAGGGGTCCCTTTACCTTTAAGGGACATGGGTGGCGCTGTGGGTTAAACCACAGAGCCTAGGACTTGCCGATCAGAAGGTCGGCGGTTCGAATCCCCACGACCGGGTGAGCTCCCAGTGCTCGGTTCTTGCTCCTGCCAACCTAGCAGTTTGAAAGCACGTCAAAGTGCAAGTAGATAAATAGGTACCGCTCCGGTGGGAAGGTAAACGGCGTTTCCGTGCACTGCTCTGGTTCACCAGAAGCAGCTTAGTCATGCTGGCCACATGACCCAGAAGCTGTACATCTGCTTCCTCGGCCAGTAAAGCGAGATGAGCGCTGCAACCCCAGAGTCGGTCACGACTGGACCTAATGGTCAGGAGTCCCTTTACCTTTATAACTTCAACTTATCATGTATTGTTTCTCTGCACCTGTCAGAGGGGCCTATGATTGATGTAGGTAGGCACAGAGCCATGGAATGACAAAAATGGTGACAGTAAAAATGGCATCATCATGATCTAACAAGGGTGATAGGTAGAAATGGGTATTCATGCACAGATCACGCTTCTAGAGGTGACTGAAGAAAGACACGGGCCAAACGTTAGAGAGTGCAGTGGTGGTCTGCACATGCTTCTATGCTCGAAGGTCACTTCTGCCAAACAGATGGCTGGTGTTTGTCTGCTTTGACAGTGCAAAGCACCTGTTTGGGAGGACAGGAGAAGGATTCAGACCCCTTCCATCACATGTGATTGGTGCTGTCAGCCATCTGTTCAGCCATGCTGGGGCATCACCTGGTGATAAGAGTTGAGCTTCCCCAAAGCATCGCTGCTTTTCTGCATGCATGGATTGTATCCGGAAAAGCAGTCATACAAGAGGAGATTGCTTAGATCAGAGGGGCTCAAATAATTTGCAGAGGGAAATGTTAATGAAGTCAATACGCTTACATAATCTAAGTAATATTCTTATGGAAGGCTTTAGCTGTTGCAGCATAACCCTCTGCAGCATGCTGTTAAAACTTGACATTTATTTACTCTTTATGTACAGAGAGAGAGGCCCTTGCAACAGGTCCCAAGAGGTGCAAAATTTGGTCTACCAGCATGGCTAGGACTGTGGGGCACAGGTTTGTGTTAATGGCACCTTCATCTCTTCCTCTTCCATGACCCCTGTTCATGGACGTACCTAGTATGATCTTCTTGCTCTGGTGCAGGAGTCTTTTCCCAGCAAGTGATAGAAGGGTGCAGGTGTAGCCTTGTGTTAGCACTGAGTCTGCCCATATGTCCTGCCACAGGCCAAGAACATATTAAAAATCATTTGTTTAAAATAAAGCTGTACAAGGGTGGTTAAGTAATAGTACACCGTGTTTCCACTTTAGATTACCCCATCCCATCTACAGAAGAGTAATGCCTCTTAATTGTGCTGTACTGGTCACTAGTTTCCTCAAGGAAAAACTACAATTCTCCAGGCCATAAAAGTGTCTTTAAGAAAGGGAAGGAACTGCAGGTTGCTTCCATGGTTAGCCCTTTTTCTCTGGGATTATTATCTGCTGTTCACTCACGTTTGAACGTAATCTGGATGTTGTGTAAAAAAAAAGAAAGAAAAGAGTGAACAAAGCTTGACCGTTCCGTGTGTGTGTGTGTGTGTGTGTGTGTGTGAGAGAGAGAGAGAGAGAGAGAGAGAGTGTGTACACAGGTTGTTGTTAGATCACTGCAGTGTTCTCCATGTTTTCCTCCTATGTCTCCTGCTCCACAATCTGATAAATTATGACTAATTTTCCTGCAATACAATGCAATGGCAGCTCCAGCCTATCAAGTGTGGATACACAAAGCATTATTAAGATTTTTCCAGGGCTTTTGCGCCTTTAAATTAAACACTTCCTTTTTTTCAGGTTCTTCCTGTGTAATTGCTTCCTGTTGATCCCAGTCTGAAGGATTTAATGAGTAATTGCCCGTTGAATAGATGCTCTGAATGTTAGTTTCTGTTCACGTCGAGAAACGAATAAGTACCATTTCACTATTAAAAATGAAAGGAGAAAGGAAATAAGTAATTAAAGTGTCCCCTTTGGTGGGAACATAAACTGACATCAGGGCAATTCAGAGAGGCTATTCAAGGAGTAACTGCTCACTAACCCCCAGCTGGGATCAATAGGAAGCAATAACAGAGGCTGAACTTGTAAGCAATAAACTATATATAAAGCTGGCAGGGCTGAATGGAACTTACTTGTGAGCAGGCGTGATAGAAATGCTAGTTAACATAGTGCTATGTTTTAATCCTGTGAGGAACCTCCATTTTGAATCTTCCTCCAGCAATTTGTGAAGAAGCAGTGCTCCAGTAATACTAAAGGGCTCTAATGTGGAAGCAGTTTGAAGAAGCATAATTACAAAGCTCACACAGAGAGACAACTGCATAACCCATATATGCAAAAAATAAAATAAAAATGCTGCGAATGATCAGCCAGCCCTCCATTTTCTTGTTTGAGATCATGGTCAGCTGCTGTGGCATCCATTGTGGGCCTAAAGACAGAAGACTGATTGTGCATTAAGCGGAAACAGCCACAGCTGAATAACATAGACATATGCTCAAGGAAATGTTGATAATTAGCTATCTAAGAGAGGATCTTTTTCTTAGATATAAAAAGTGTATGGATCAAAAATAACTTAGTCCATGGTGGTTAAACTCCTTAGATTTTTGCTGCAAGGACTCAGGTTCTTTATAGAATCAGCATTGGCTTTATGATGAGATGGGTGCAGATGCAAAAGAATTCACTTCCACTTGAAACCCACAAACATTTCTTTTAATTTTGTGGTTATATAGCTGCAACCGGGTTGATTTGCTTTTTATTCTCCAGGGAAATCTGAAGCAGTTTAGTTGCCTCAAAACCAAACTGAACTCAAGATTGATTTGCAAGAAGACTTGGAAAAGCCTGAATACAATATTTAAAGCATACTCCATAAACACTGCACTGGTGATTTCACAACTTTTTTCATTTGAGTGGGATTTCCACTTAAACCCCATAGTAATGAACAGACATTGTGCAGAAGTAATAGCATTTGGAGAGTTTGGGTCCCATTTCTCCATAAAACCTGTTGCATGCTCCTTAATAAAAATTTAATGTCTTAAGGATATGGAACCAAATACTAAAGAACAACAGTGCATTTGAGGAAAGGATCCATCTTGTGTTGATCTCTCCACAATTAAAAACACCTGATAATGAAATGCCTTGGTGGTGTTTATCAAAAGCATCTTCCCAACATTCAGGGCACTTAGACTTAGATGTTACTTCCTAGTAGAATATAAAGTACTGCATGTTATTAGTTACTGTTTGACAAATCCAAGGAGTATGAAGAGGGGGACTTGCTGAAGATAATCCATAAAACTTTGGCTTAATTTGTAAATAAATCATAAATTATTTTTTAACTTCTAAATCAGCATTTAGATTTTTTGTAATATTTATATTTCATGATTTTTTTGTTGATTTCATTGCTATTAGGGAAAGAGAAGAAATTTGATTTCGTTAGCATTAAATGGGAAACTACCTAATTCATGCTCTCAAACAAATATGTGAACTGAAACATAACTTTTCTGAATTTTGCAATGTGTACAAAAATGCATGTTAGGGAAAGCGTACATAAAAATGCATATATTTCTGCAAATAACGTAGGATACAAATATGCGTTATATATGGGGAAATTGTTAGCATAAACGTGCATATTAAAACTGCATACAAAAACGTGTTTATTAGGAGAAATTTGCACTAAAGTGCTGGTGAATTTCTAAACTGATTCAGAAAGGTAAAGAACTGAATTTAAGACAGGAAGAATGAAAAAGAGAGATTTCTTCATCCCTAATTTCTATTACTCTAATAAATAGCATGCTATCAAATTATCAAAGGAACTTGCCAGTGTAACCTCGAACAATTTTGCTCAATATGCTACAGCTTTGCCTTATCTACTTGTTTTCTCAAGATGCTAACTGTGTAATACTGCAACAGTTGAAATTGTGCTTTGATATTTTTTTTCCCCCTCACTCCATCTGGGAATGATAATCTTGCTCTGCTGGGTTTAGTGAAAAGTTAAAAATAGTAAATGTGGTTTCCCACAATTAGGATAGAAATGTTTGCTGTAATCTATCAGCTATAGAATGGCTCGCTGCCAGTAAAGAAGGGAACAGAGGAATGCATGTGATAAAGGGTGGAAATGCCATAAAAATGACTTGAGAACAGCTTTCCCCAACCTTTTGCCCTCCAACTCCTATCTGCCCCAACCAGCCAGCAGATGGGAGATGTTATCCAAAAAGTGTGGAGTGAACCAGGTTGGGGGAGACTGCTCTAGAGTACTGGATGCTACTGATATGTCAACATGCGAATTTATATGTTATCTGAGGAATCTAGCAGGCTTCCTAAATTCTACTAATAATTGCAGCCCCTAGAATCTAATGCTAGTTATTTCTCCCCCTTCTTCTGATTGGTGTGTGGGTGTGGCTGGCTTCTGTTACGAAATCTCAGCATAAATTTCTGCATTCTTGCTCCCTTTCCTGCTTTCTTTATAGTAAATCTGAATTGAATAAAAGTACTTAAAGTAAAACTGAATTTTGCTGGAGACACTGACTTTTTACCACCTAAAATTGGCAGTGATCACCAGACCAGAAATGGAAATTGGCAGGTACCAATGGATGTACAGGAATTCAAGGCTACACCAGTACCATCATGTGCCAGCATTGAGAGGCAATGTTAGTCCTTTGGGGATTCAAGGTAAATAAAAGCCTGGGGGTCTAATATCTTAACTGGAGAATAGTCATTGTCCTAGCAGTAGCAAAAATGTTCCTAAATATATATGCTGATGTTTTCTGATTCTCACTTGACAGGTTTTTTTGTTGTCTGTTTCAAAGCATTTGTTCAGAACTGTTTTTCAGAGTAAGACATCTTTTGCATCACTTACCTGGCTGCTCAGAATAATCTTTAAAACTGCCCATATACAAGAAGTCAAATGGTCTTCCACATATCCTTTGCAGTCCAGACATTTGACTTCTGTGGTTCTCAAGAGAGTAATATATCCTACTTTAGACTTTATTTACACCTTAGACTTAATTTGCACTCATACTTGTTTCTTTGGGCTGTTTTCCCATTGGTTCAGTGACTGGTAGTTTCTGTGGAGAGGTTGTGAGTTAGGTATCCTTCATAGCAGCCAGCGCTAACTCTGCTCCCTATTGTCATTGTTGGGCTCAAATGCCCATAAGTCCCAGTCAGCATAGCCAACAATTATAGGCGATAGGAGCCATATTTCAACAACAGCTGCAGGGCACCAGGTTGGGAAAGGTTCCATATTTAAAATATATAGTGGTTTTGAATGTCTCATCTGAAGGCATTTTTGACCATGGCCTTCCTCCTTGCTAAAAGCAAACTTGCATATTTAATTTGCACCATATGCTCTTTCATAATTTCCCCCCTTCCAGATTCTTTTATCATCCTTAGTGGACAAGCAGGCCTGAAGATCATATAGAAGAAATAGAAGCTTTCTAGCAGTAATGCATAAAGTTCTCTGCCTGCTGATTTGCTATGGCACTCATATTTTACAATCATTTTTTTTACAGCTGGCATGAAGCGTGTTATTTATTTCATTTTATTTAAGGCATTTCTATTTCACTCACTTATTAGCATTTCTAAGCAGTGCCTTAACTTGGAGGATGAAAATGTCTTAGTTTAAGCAACCAATAAGAATGTATAGTAAGACAGCAAGGATAAATTTTAAACTGGATCTGAGAAAGCAAAACGAGAAGACAAATGATATCAGTGTGTCACTGACCGTCTAATGAAGTTTTGTTGTGCTTAGTCTTGTTTTCTGGGCAGCTTAAAAGCTGCAGTAGCCTATTGGTCAACTGGATGTACAGTTCAGTCATAGGCGCCGACTCCATGGGGCTTGAGGGGGCTCGAGCCCCCTCAAAAAAATTTTTTGGGGGGCTCAGCCCCCCCAATAATCTCGGGCGCCGGGGCGGGGGCTCCTGCCTCGCTGCTTCGCAGCACCACCGCCACTGCCAAGACACTGCCGGGGGGAATTTTCTTCCTCCTGGCGGTTTCAGCCCCCGCGAGAACAGGGGAATCCCGACTGGCCACACCTCCCAGCCAGCCAATCGGCTGGCTGGGGGGCGTGGCTTGCCCTATTTAGGGCCGGAGCCACTTTATTTGCATATTCATGAGCTTATTTATTATTCATGAGCTTTCCCGGGCCCCCCCAATATTTTTTATAAGTCCGCGTCCCTGAGTTCAGTAGATATTTTGTACTGAGATGTCAGTAATCAGACGCAGATAAATAACACGGATCTCCATCAGTAATAAAAAGCAGATGGTCTAGATTTTTTAAGCCTAGAAAAATAGCTCCATCACAGTCAATGCTTGCTTTATTATTGATTATGGCTTTGGGGTACATTTTGAGATATGCGAGATCACTGCCTCAGCTGAAAAGATATAAGAAAGAAATCCTAGATTGTGGAGGACAGACTTCAGTTTTGTGAGATATACTTGTTTTTCTTTTCATCTACCAACAGCAGCCAAGTGTTTACATAGTCAAAGGGAGCAGCATAACCTAGAACGGGGCTCTCATTCTCAGCCTTTTCACACAAAAAAACACACCTGGTTTTCCACTAAGCTTTTTTTGTTTCAGCAGCCCAATTAAAACAACAAGCCTTTCCATTGTTACAGTTGTTAAAACAATTGGAAGTAAGAAACCCTTGACAGTAAGTAGGGTCCCAGCCTGTCTTTTGCATTCTCCCAACCTAGGTACTCATCTCCTATGCAAGAGGATTTTGTCAATTGGCAAAAAATCTCTTCAGGAAGGAACCAGAGAGGAACAGCTGGTAAAAATCACTGTTCTTACCCTGGGTAGGTGTTATACTCTGGAGCAGGGTTGCACCTTATAAAGCCACTGCAGGAGGGATAGATGGTAACTAATGCTGGAATTTGGCTCCCCTTTGCTTTCCTTATAACAAAGAATCAGTGGTGGACCATGGTGTCTCAAATTTCAGTGGTGCCTGCCCAACGCCAAAATCTGCCCCCACCCACCAGCCGCTTGCCTTCCATTGGATTTCATGGTTGGGGTTCCTGCTGCAGCATTCCAGAAGCTCCACGCCCAGTGCAACTGAGCCAGTGGCGATTCCCTAGATCTGCCTTTGAAATCGTGTTGAGGTCCATTAGTTAGGGCTGCCATACATCTGGAATTTCCCTGACATAGCTGGAATATGGCAGTCAGAAACAGTGTCTGGGCGGAAATTGCTTAAATGTCCGGGAAAATCTGGGCGTATGGAAACCCATGTTGGAAACCTAGATTTCTGGCAAATTTCCTTAAAATTAGCTCAACAATGTCTCTCTTTTTTTTAGATGTTGCAATAAAAATTCAACAACTTTGGCCCAAAATATATGACAATCCTACTGTTAAGTTGTGGGTGAACATATTAGATGACACAGCGATTCTTCAAACAGCTCTTGTTCATTCCCAGGACAGAACTGAGCTGAAGGGTTCAGTCAGCCTGCTTATATAGAGCTCCAGTACCATGTAACTGTAACAATTTTCTAAAACTATCCAATCACTGAACTTCACTTTCGATCCCTTATTTGCATAACTATCTACAGTATCCCCCTGCTGGCCCAGGGTGAGAACTTCAGTACATAACACCTACCATTAGTAAGGTTGGGTAGTTGCACAAATTTCCTATTTGCCCTCCCTCTTTTCATACCTGGAGCAATGCATGCTCCAGGTGGGAGAAACTGTAGGCAGATCTTTGCAGGGCATCTGGGGGCTCCTTACTAGTAGCTCCTTTCTCTTCCCCCATTGGCTAGGGCTCCCACTCTATCTAGCACTCTCTACCTCTATACCAGGCTGGGCAAACAGGGTAGACATTTTACTCATAGATTGTATAGAATCTGCCCTTCGTGAATTATCCCCTCATACAGGCCAAGTCTTTCACTGTTAACCAGTTTATTTCATTGATGCCTATTGTCCATGGACTTCCAAGGAGCCATAGCTGTCAACTTTTCCCTTTTCTTGCAAGGAATCCTATTCGGAATAAGGGAATTTCCCTTTTTAAAAAGGGAAACATTGACAGCTATGCAAAGGAGCTGCTTTATGTTATGTTATGGTAGCCAAAGGCAGTGAACAAGCTCTGTCCAACTCCAGATGCAGATAGCTCTGAAGTGGTTTTAGATGTATGCTCTTGACTGCAAAATGTTTGACACAGTTGTTGATTCAGGGTCTCTTAAATTCTTCAGCTTGTAAAGATTTCCTTCCTTTTTTCTTTCAGACTCAACATTCAGTTGCAAATGTGAGCAATCTCTTTTATGTGATGGGTTTCTTGCTAGGCTTAAATAAATTGTCTCCATCACAGAGTCATCTTCTCCTTGATCTTCTTTCAAAAACAAACTTTTGAATGGATTAGAAACAGAGCACAGGGCTCGCATGTCAATGTATTTTTCATTTTTTTCCACACTGACATAATAGTCAGCTATCCTTACAAAGTAAGGAAAGTTGGCAAAATACCCCTCAGTTTTAAATACAGATTTATTTTGAAGGTAATTTAAAACACATCTGTGCCTTAATGAGTTTGAAGATGTAGCTTGTGAAAGGGAATACACACACATTTATCTGCGTTGACCTCTGGATAATCTTCTGCCTTATTGCTCTGAATGTTTTTGCTTACTGACAGAGATTGGTGTATTTCTTCCCATGTTACAGTCTGACTTTCCTAAAAGACCCAGTGCGCTCACATGTTCTAAAAGTAATGTAGTGAAGTGTCCCTGAGTGAATTCTCCTGTTCAAATACATTGGAAATCCTTTAAAAAGAAAAGAAAGTGGGGGGGGGGGGAGAGTCTTTGCAGATTTTTATATTATGGATATATGTTTTGTATTATTTTAGTAATGCTATTGCTTAATACTGCTTTGGCATGGCGTGTATTGTGAACTGAGCTGATAGGCTTTTTAAAATAAAAACAAATATGGAAGCACTTGAAATCTGTTGGGCATCCCAGACAGAAAAGTGGTTGCTTACATATATTAGTAATTTCTGTAATGAAGATAATTGGAAGCTAGCCCTGAGCTAACTCACCTTACTCTTTCAGTTGGGGGAGAGGCTTCTGTGATAATGTGTTGATGTTTTGTCATGAAATGCACACTGTTGTGATCTTAGAATGGTCTCTGTGTCCTTTGCTAGGAAGGCTGGAGTTGGGTAGGACAGACTTATCCATCAAACACAACCAACAGCAAATAATGATAAAATACAATGCCTAAGCATGTGTGAGAGAAGGAATCCCACAATCCATTTGCTTCCCTTTTCTAGTTTAAAACAAGATTCTCTATCTGGCCTGAGACTTTCCCCAAGCCACACCCACTGCCCCTCTCTAATCCCTAACCCTCATTTGCTCCTCATTTCCCTCTACAACCGCCTTCTTGACCACTGGAATTACGATTGGTCTCGTCCTCTCAATCCACCCTAACTTGTCTTTGCATGCAGGGGATGTCTCTAACTCACTGAGGGTTTGAGACCTATCGGCTACACTCACCTGGTTTAGCCGGCCAGTCAAAGCCATTCTCAGGGTGTGGCTGCTGTCACATGCTGACAACTGCAACAGATGACTGGGAGAAAAACAGAGGACAGGGCAACACGGGGAAACCAAGACTGAGAGGTGCTAATGATGGACTGGATGTGGTTACTAGTGCCATGCAGTTTCTTAGTGTGTGGTTCCTGGTTGTCTGAACCCTTCAAGTG